GGGTGACCAATAAAGCTAAAGCTAACTATAATTAATACATTATATCTCATTAAAAGTGTAAAAACCACAATGTGTCGCTTTTAAACATGTTTCCAGTGGTTGTGATTATGCTAAGCTAAGCTAACTGGCTGCTGGCATGACGGTGGAATCTATTTTCTTTAATGTCATTTTGTATCAGTACTTTTTCTGTAAATTTGGGATTTTAGAAACCTTTATATTCCACACATAAACATTTCACATGGTGTGTATATTTTCAGTGAGTCAGTTTATCTAAAGTATGATTCCTTTAAGGCCAACAACACAAATGAATAAAGGATTCAGCATTTCACAAACAACGTTATAATTAGGTTGGGCAATACAGCGGTGACTCTTTATTTAAAGGTGTGTAATTTCCTAGTCATTTCCAAGAAATAACAATGTAACCCGGTACTAATTAGACTGGAAATAGATCAATTCTGAGATATTTGAGTTAAGAGTTTAGTTGAGTGTAGCTGTTCTGTAGACAATATAATATAACTAATTAGCTAACTTAATCCAAATAATACAAACCTTTAAGAGACTTTTCTTTTGGTGTTGAGTGTGGGATGATAGGAGGACTTCGCCTCCTGTGATTAGACCCCAAAACTGCTTTCATGCTGCCTTTGTGCCCAATGAACACGACATAAACAACTCAGGAAATGGCAATAATATTCTTTGAAATTGAGGAATTCCCAGATTCTCACGCTCAACCTGAAATGACACACTGTTGTCTGATACCTGTCTCGTGACACTATTTCAAAATTCACTGGTAGTTTCGTTTTGTGTCACGGTTTCCCAATTATGTTTCATGATGAAGCTGAGCAGACATTGTGATTCATTAAAACACAAAGATTAACCACTTTGAAAAACAGTAGATCCACTCGTCACAGTGATGTGGGAAATAACACACATAGAGATCGAGGACCACAAGACATTGACTTGAATAGGAAGCCAATTTTATGAAGAAATGGCGTCCGCGAACGAAGTACCGTTAGCTAGCTAACTTTTAAAGTGGCTAAAATGCTTCAGCTTCTGTCACATCAGTTCATATTCTGATGCTTCAATAATGCTTCAATACAGTAGTATGTCATTTATGAATGATTAACATGAGGTGCACTGGCTGGTGTAGTTTTATGGTGAGAGTTAACTTCAGCTATCTAAAAGGGCAGTTAGCATGTATGAAGAGATTTGGATACAGCGTTGGAGTCGGGGCCCATTTTACAACGTTAGGACCATTTAAACACAAACTATTCTAGTGTTCACATTTGGAAGTTGATTTGCATTTTTAAGTTGCTTTTTACTACATTTGGTCTCTAAAAGTTATTGATAACTCTGCTCCAGCAACGAATGCAATGCAGCAATCTATAATGTTATTAGTGGCACCTGTGTTTAAAATGAAAAAGATCTATTTAACTTTTCCCCCATTTGATAAACACTGTATCGTGCAATAGCAATGTAAGGAAATACAAATACTTGTTGTTTTGTGGAGCCTATTGACCTTCTACTGAGAGCAGATGGAAGGAATCAAAGCTGATTTGTCGGTTCACGTATTGTTGGCAGCTTTACACACGAGAAAGTGAAATGTACAGCAAGAACTTGACAGTATGACTGAGTGTGTGTTTGGTTTATCTGTGTCTCTATGCCTCCTCATAGTGATTGGTGGCTGGCCACCACAGCCTTCTATAGTTCACCTGGCTGCTGAGCACCTGTTGCCACCTTGAAATGTTTTATAGGGGCCCATAAAAATCCCTTTAAAGCTGGCCTCCACCTCTGGCAGCTAAATAATGATTAAAACAACATCAGCCACTTTCGTGATACCAAAGAATTAGAAGGCCAGGAGAGACTGGATAGTCCACATCCATCACTCAGCCTGTATGTCAAAACAATGTGGGAGATTAAATCATAGAAAAGATGCTTTGAGTTCAGCTCAAATATAGAAATGACAGTCTGTCGTGAGAACAATGTGAGAGCCATGTCAGGGTCCTTTGAAAGATAAATATGGTGAAGGAGTTATAAACTCTGCATCTTCAGGCAGATCCAGGAGGATCTGTGAGCCAGCTCCACAACGAGGTCAACAGAACAAATCGAAAAAACGCAGCACACTCCTCATCGCTGAATAAACACTGCAGTGTTATGGGTTGTTTATTGAGGTGCTGCAGCTGCAACTTTACTGCGCCAATCCTCGGAGAGAACAATGTGAGGATGTGATTATTTTTGATAATCTCAAGGTAAGCTGCCAGGCCGTGGCAACACTCCGATGTATAACTGAGGGGGAAAGGTCAAACAAGAAACAAAGAGGTTTGTTCTGCAAGGCTATTCATTGGTAGACTAATGTATCAATCATTGGCTACTTCTTATCATGCGCCTCCTCTAAAATATAAATGATATACAGTAGATCTATGTTGTATTTGTACTGGATCCTCACAAGACCAGGTGGAGTTTGCCATGTGTGAAATATCTATTTTGAGGAAATGTGTATTCATACCTGAGGATTTGAAAAATCAAAACTCATCAGACTTCTTGGCTGACAGAAGAGATGACTGTTCATGTGTCATCAATTAGAATCATGATTCATGTGGAATGGAAATTAGCTGAGTAAGCGTCCAAGAATAGAGGTTGAAAAGGGACCACACCTGCACACACACCACCACCTGACCAGAGAGGTCAGAGGTCAGAGGGCCTCCTACAGACAAACGCTTTGAGGACTTTTAAATCCCTGTAGGTGTACTTTAAAAGGAGATGGGCCTCATCTTTACCGCACATTCAAGCCGAGGGGGCCTCCTAGTGGTGAAAATCATTAATTACACAAATGCACAGCCTGCTCTCCCACAGCCAAAAGGACTAAGTTTTTGTGGATATCAATCAAAAACATAAGTCACTGGTTCTAAATTCAACTACCAATAGTTTTATATGCATTCTTTTTGATTCCCCTCTTTCAATTGAACTGCAGTTAAAATCCATCACCAAGTCTTTCACCAGCTTTCTGCAGACTCATCACTTCCTGACTCCATGGCATGCAGAGGCCTTCATCCATGCCATGCTACATCTCACCTGGGTCATGGAATCCCAGGCCTTAGCCAAGCCTTTTCATTAACACAGCTTTTTCTTGTTCCTCATATGTATGGTAAGGTGACATTGCATTAAACTCACTAAAAATCTAATTTATATTGTTATTTTGTGAAATTAGTTGATCAGATGTGTAATTAATGCAATTTGATGATAAAACAGATTTGAACAATTGTGAACCTGTCTTAAAACAATACTCACATGTCCATATTAACATTTAAACAGCGTTTGCTCGCTGTAATCAGTCCTCCTGTTCATATTGGCCTTTAAAAGTGTTCCGAACACATTTCCAAAGAAAGCGATGGGGACAGAATCCAGTCCTTGTTACTTGCAGAAATACATTCCAAAGTTTATCTCAAGTTATAATGAAGCTTCAGTAGTCGGAGTTATTCAAACAGATTGGGTGTCATTTCAAATGTGTATTCATTTTAACATATTAACATTATACATAGACTCAAAAGCCAGGATTCACAGACAGTAATGAAAAGAATACACTTAACACTTAACTTAAAGGCGGCTACAAGGCCCCAGATTCAAACTGGGTGTGGTTTTGTGACAGTGGTTTTAGTACAACTTCCTTCTTTGTGTTGTGTTACTGAGCCGCAGTGAAGGGGAAGTTGCATGAAGAGGGAATTATACTAAGTACTAAAAAGACTGGAATTTTGTCTAATTCAGACTGTTAATATTCACCCTATTAACTTCAACTAAACATTGGAATGTATTTTTGTAGCGAGGACTGTAGATTGTGTCCCCATCATGTACAATGACTTGCATTAGAAAGGAATCTGACCTGTGTGAACAGGAGGAATGACTACAGCAAGTTTCAATATGATATCTGACTATTGTGTTAAGACACACTAGTTTATTGTGACTCCTACATTTAGAAATTCTTGGATGATTTATACACTTTAGTTTCATTTGTGAAAGCAACTTCAATCTGAGCGGCCGCAAAAAGGAGAAATCTTTTTTTCTCCTATATTTCGTAATATGAAAACACCACTGAAGGAAGTCACGCAACAAAGTGCAATAAGAGCTAAGAATCAGAACTTACATTTATTGGAACCACAATGACTCGAGTTATGAGTTGTGCTGACATCCCATTGAGTTTAGCAAAGTAAAATAGTAAACATGTCAAAAAATCCTGTCCTATTACAACATTTGTAGTAAAAATGTATTTTTAAGTATGCACAGTGAAAATATAGAATTACATCTTTCACAAACGGAAAACGATATAAAACCTCACCGGTATTTTGCTGTAAAATTGAAATAGTAGAAGATATGAGTATGTAACTGGAAATGTCTACAAAAAAGTGTGGAATGAAAACATTAGTGAGGTTAATGTTACGTAGGATTTTAAATGTATTTCTCTAACCTTACAGAAGGTTTAAGGTTATGACCAGGGTTTTTTTTTTCACTTCAAACAAATGTTTTGTGATCGACAGGGAACTTAAAGGTATGGATTTGTTTTTGTGAGAATAATTCATTGCTACATATTTTCATCGTATGATGTCGACAAGTTTTAAAGTAGTTTGGATGGAGAGAAGTCACAAAATAATAGAAAAACTGTACAACGTACCGGTAATATCTTTAAAATATAGCACCTCTTTAGTTTTCCTCCACTGCTAATAGAGACATGTTCACATGCTGATGCTTGTTTATCAAGATAATAATACTTTTTTAACAAAGGTTTTTCACTGTATATAAACTATTAAGTATTGTAGGCTACCAATAAAAAGGCGATAAAAACTGTAAAGACATGTGTTTAAGATTGTGCCTGAAATATTTTCATTATATATATATATATATTAATTGGTCTGATTATCTCACCTTCTGCATTTGCAATACTATTTTTAAATTTTTTTAATGTGTTACATGAGCCATTTGTTAAATAAATAAATAAATGAATTAAAGTGTCGCGCCTACATGTCGTCGACACGACGCCTTTCTGTGATGTCATCAAATCGCGCCTCACAGAAAGCCCTTTAAGCGGTAAGCATTTTTTATTTTTTACAAATTAATATCATAACACTGTCGTAAATAACATCGTGTTCTTTCTTGATCAGTGTGAAAAACATTTATAAAAAGTCTCCGTTGTTAGCATAGACTGCATCGCTAGCTAACGTTAAATGCTAAAGCATGAAGCTGTTGCTAACATTTTGTTGAATCATCCCCGTTCGTGTCAACAGTCGAGCGAAGAATGAGCCTTTTCTTTAACGCCATAGTTATTAGCGTAAACTTTAACAACATGAAATGAAGAGAACTTAATACCAACCTCAGTCAGTAGTTAGTACCAGTTAGCTAGCCGTTACTGGTTTAACACTGCAGACGTTAACGACTCTTAGTTTGGTCTCTTTCACGTTCACAACCAGCCGTAGATGGCCAAGCTAACTGGTCTTCACTGCCTCATAAAGACACTCAAAACAACTTTGTGTTTGTTTTCCACAGAAGAAGAGTTCAACAGCAATTTGCAAAAATGGTGAGTTAACTGCACTTTGTATGATGAAGTGTATTTATATTAATGACGTGCTGCTTGGCTTCTTCCTTTCTCTAATGTTCAGATAAAAAAAACATCTCTGCAGCCAGTCAGCTCTTTGACATGAGGACAACAACAACAATGCACCTTTTTATGGATTCTCCAAATCTCAGAATCTAAATAGTTCATTTAGGATTCCAAGTGTGCCCTGAAACAAACTAAATCAATTGAATTGCAGGGTTATCCATTCTACAAGCCCCTTATCAGATATCAATTCGGATTCTTCTAGTTACACACTTCTGCTTCCAAGGAGCCATTTCGTCAACAAGCAGATTTAGTGATATTCTGCTCAGCATCCACTTGCATATTTCATAGCTACAAGAAAAAGAACGAAAACGATCATCGGAGGATTTAAAGAGTAACTGCACAAACGCATCAGAATTGTTTTACAGTTACGGCCTCATGTTACTATTTAAGGTGTAAGATATTTATGAGAGAAAGCTTCCTATTTGTCCCAACAAAATACTCTTTAATACGTGTGGTCTGTGTTTGGAAGTGAATTAAGTTCCGATTAGCTTTCATGTGTTTTCTGTTTCCCGTCAGTCCCGTCGATATGATTCAAGAACGACCATCTTCTCACCGGAGGGTAAGAGCTCTTCAATGATAAAGCAACTGATGAGGCTGCAAGTTAGACTTTGTCACACATAACCTTTACTTGTTTTAAACCAGGAGAAAGCATCTTGTTTTTGTTTCTGGTCTCTTGGTGCTCTGTTGTTGCGTCCTGGTCCTGACAGCGCTGTGTGTCCTCTGCAGGGCGTCTGTATCAGGTCGAGTATGCCATGGAAGCAATCGGCCACGCCGGCAGCTGCCTGGGAATTTTAGCCAATGACGGAGTGCTGCTGGCCGCTGAGAGGAGGAACATTCACAAGCTGCTGGATGAAGTGTTTTTCTCAGAGAAAATCTACAAGCTGAACGAGTGAGTTCCTCCTGCTTAAGCCTTGATGTTGTTTTTAAATAGTAGGTAGGCAGTGTGCAAAGGTTTGTCTTTGCAATGGTCCTACATCTTCCAATGTCCTTGCAGAGACATGGCGTGCAGTGTGGCGGGCATCACATCCGATGCCAACGTACTGACCAATGAGCTGAGGCTCATCGCACAGAGGTGAGCTCCAGTCAGTCACACGGCCGTCTTCATTTCTGCTGCAGCCGAATGCTTCTGGTGGGACAGAATATAAATATGGATGTAATTGTGATGATCTGTGTTGCTGTTGCAGGTACCTGCTGCAGTACCAGGAGCCAATCCCCTGCGAGCAGCTGGTCACGGCGTTGTGTGACATCAAACAGGCCTACACGCAGTTCGGAGGTACAAAGCAGCGCCTCACAGTTCTGTCACAGCAGGAGACGAGTGTTTCATCTGCATGCAGAGTTTACATCCCGATGAAAACAGCTTCTTTTGCTACTTCATTTGGACAGCCGTAGCTTCGCGCTGCTGGTCCTGATGAACATTGTTTTGCTGGAGTCAAAATTCCTGCATCCCTAAGATCGACGTGGCGAGTTAGCATCACCTGTAGTAACAGTTGTTAGAATGGGACCCAGGTTGAGGAAACAGGAATCTTTCTTCAGCATCTTGCATATTGAATGCTTGGTTTTCTTTTTTTCAAACGGGTAGTGTTGCACAGTTGTTACTTTATCAGTTATTCTGATTCAAATGATAAATCATGATTAGTTTTGATTATTTAAGGAAATGTTTCTTCTCCAACTGATTTACTCTTTGCATCCTAACTATTCAAACTCAAGGGATTCTAAAACCAGAAATAAGTCAAGTTGTGTCGTTAAAACACAAAGTTATGAAACTACTGAACATCACGTTTTAAAAGAATTTAGTTAAAATAAATCTAAGTTGGGAACACCAGACCCTCAACATGAGTCAGCGTTATGAAGCCACCGTGTGTGTTGTCGTCTGTCCTCACAGGAAAGCGTCCCTTTGGCGTGTCGCTGCTCTACATGGGCTGGGACAAACACTACGGCTTCCAGCTCTACCAGAGCGACCCCAGCGGAAACTACGGCGGCTGGAAGGCCACGTGCATCGGAAACAACAGCGCTGTAAGTCTCACCGCCGTCAACGCTCTCGACCAGGAATTGCTTTACTTGAAATAGAGTCGAGTTAGAAAGGAAACGTGTGTGTGTGTGTGTGGCCATGAACGGGGCAGGACCCTCAACAATGAACATGCTGTGGCCTACTTAGTGCCGACTCTTGGGGCAGCTAATTGTGCAAGTCTTGATTTGATGGTGGCTTTGCTAATCTCAGCGGCTCTTCACGGGGCTGCACACAAAGCATTGTGGGTAACAGAGCCTCTTCAGAGCATTGGGTGAACACTTCTGTCCAAGAGAAAGCTTCTAAGGTGAACAAAAGTTTTCCTAAACAGAGGAGCAATGGTGGAAAGACAAAGAGGTAGAATAAATATTCCCCCAACGCTGAATTCTCCTCATGAGCCACAGATTAGATCATGCAGGGATAACGTCAGTGGTCGGTCTCATTACGCTCACATTGGCAACGCTGTGAGGCCAGACATTAATGTGGTCACTGAGACATTTGGCAACTGCAAGAACATGTTCGCTGGTTTATAGATTGACGTGCCGACCGACTCCGCTGCTCATATAATCCATCCAGCGATGACAGAAACTGATGCAATAAACTTCAGTAAATATCAGCATGCTACTGCACAAGTAGGCCTGTGTTCTCAAACATGTTGTAGGCCACTTTGAATGTGTGGTGTTATTTCATTTAAAAAGGAGATTTGACAGCCGGCAGTAGTCTGAGAGAGAGAATGAGGTTTGAATGGAATCTTCACAGATGAAAACAGATGGAGACAACGATGCGTAAATGCTTCCTACATAAACTCTGCAGCACTAACGAGACGGGACGGTGTGTTTAGGAGTGATTTTCTTTTTCTTCTTTGCTCGCCCTCAGGCAGCCGTCTCCATGCTGAAGCAAGACTTCAAGGAGGGAGAGATGACGCTTTCCACAGCCCTCGCTCTCGCCGTTAAAGTTCTCAATAACACCATGGACGTCAGCAAGCTGTCTGCAGAGAAAGGTGCGGATCACCGTACACATCATGAACGTCATACTTACTTGAGATTAAAGAAACTTCATAGACTGCAGATTCCCTCAGCTCTGCAGAGCTTTTAGTGTCTTTCAACATATCGTTTGTCTGCACGGCCCTCAACTTCACCGCTAACAGCAGACAGACAGTTAATGAAGATAGTGGAGCGTTTAGCAGCTCAACAGCCCGATAAGAGACCAGGAAAGTAAATATTGCACTTGCATTCATCAGGTGGACAGAAACACTACTTTGTCTTTCAATTGTCAGTCTGGTGGTGCACAAAACATGATTTTATTTGCGAACCTTCCTACAAGATAACATTTGTTAGGAGGACTTTCTACAAACTAAAAGCATGAATATAGAGTAATCCTCTCAGAACTCTACAGTAAGTAGAAATATAGATGAACCACAGGTGTCCGTACTGATACATTACCGTCTGTCTCTCTCTGTCTGTGTGTGTGTGTGTTGTTTCAGTGGAGATCGCCACTCTGACCCGCGAGAACGGAAAGACCTGCATCAAAGTGCTGAAGCAGAAGGAAGTCGAGGCGCTGATCAAGAAGCACGAAGCCGAGGAGGCCAAAGTGGAGAAGGAGAAGAAGGAGAAGGAGCAGAAGGAGAAGGACAAGTAGTCCATTAGTCCAGTTTGTGTGTGAGATCCAATGTCAATCTTCAGCTATGTTTGCATTTGTGTTGTTTCGTAAAATAAATCCAGATGATGAATTATTCACTTGATATTTTTTATTTATTTATTTTTTTTTAATCGTTCTGATCGGTTTCAAATGAACTCTTTTGCATAATGTTGTTGGCGTTAACAAGTTTAAATGGTGTAGTATAAGTTCTAGGTCATGAAGTCATATTTTATGTTGAAAAAGTCATTAAAAAGTTAAGATTCTTCAAAATATGGTAGTTAAAGAAAATGAAGTGTGACTTCAAAGGTTTAAAACGGGTCATAAAGTACATTTCATTAGCCTACATCAGTGTGAACAAACTCCTAAATCCATAATGATAACTAGATCAAATATGTTCTCAGTCCTCCGCTGAAGAGGCCGTTCACTGAGGGGCGATGGTTCAAATCTGCAGGAACTATTAATCATTTTGACGTTATGCTGTGTCCTGGTTGGATGAAGATGCCTTCACATCCATCTATAGGCTGTAAAAAAGTATTCAGATATTTACATTTATCGACAGAAAAGTCACAAACGGTCAGCGTTGGGCTGAAAGGTTCAGGGCTGATTTAAAACATGGAGTGTTTCAACCCACGAAACAACGATTATAATATCCCATCATATGTCCTATCATGTAGTTTACAGCTAAAGACGCTTAAATGAGAGCTCCAGAACAAACTATTGTTTAGTCAGCAGTAGTTACATCAGGACACTATCAGATAACAAACACAGAAAAGTAGGTTTCCATTCAAGCACATCCGATCTTCAGTGGAGTCCCTTTAGAGCGGATTAGATATCCACCGGCTGGTTTTAAACTCCGCTAACCGGATGCTGGAAACCGAGATGGAAGGACGTACACGTGTACGTGATGCGGTAACGGCTTATCAGCCTCAATCTGAGGTGACTTTATGCAAAGTCATGGTAAGATTAAGGCCAGCAGGGGACTATCTGCCTCTTGTTGTTTAGTCCAGGGGATTAGTGACGCAGCAGACTTCAGATTTCCAATGCACCGTTGTGACGGTGAGGGAAGGCCCCAAACAGCTGGATGGCCTTTGGACAGAAATATGAATTCATTTTACAGAGGGGCCCAGAGACACATTTTATAGGTGGACATTGTTTGTAGCATTCCTAGTGCTCACACTAGCACACTAACTGAGGGAAGGTCTTGATGCAGAGAGACTCATTTGTGGCTTCGAGCATAGACTGCATGTAAGAAGTGGACATTGAGTCACCATTGAATCTCCTATTCATTTGTGGACTGACTTCTTTGAAGCCTCAAGTTTGGCATTTTGCAACCAGAAGTGACACGAGAGGTTGGAGTACAACCAAAATTTGGCATTTTTAGGCAACTGAAATGTTACAATTACCTTTCATGAACTGAGAACACATTGTGAAAGGGTTAAAGTTGTAAGATAAAAGACGGACAACGCTGTGGTGGAGACCTGTCAATCACCACGTAGCCCCGCCTTAAAGCATCCACTGCTTTATGGTCTGTTTGACTCTAAATGGAACATAATTTATTAATGAACATCATGCTGTATTGAAGAAGACTTGAAACTAGAGATTGAGACCATAAACTCACGTTTACAATGTTTACTGAGGTAATAAATCAAGAGAGAAGTAGAGTCATTTTCTCATAGACTTCTATACAACCAGAGGAGTCGCCCCCTGCTGGCCATTAGAAAGAATGCAAGTTTAACCTTTCAGACCCGGAGGTTGCCGCCTGGTGATGTCGGCTTTTGTTGGTAATGACAAGGCTGTAAACGGATAACTGCAACAATCAATGCAGAGAGAACTAGAGAGAGAAATAATCAAGGATTTAAAATATTAAGAATCGGCTTTGCGAGTGTTTTATTTGGGAAAAATGCATTCTACACGTTTGTTACACAAATTTCCGTTTGGCCTAAAACAGTGAATGTAAACACAAATTTGGGTTGTTCACGAGAACATTTTTTGCTTAAGTGATTTCTGTAATGTGTTGTGTGAAAAGTTTTCTATTTTTCGTCGACGTGTTTCTTCCAGGGCCGTTTAGCGCCTCAGGACCACCGTGTTAAAGAACACGGACCGACAACAAAGGTTGCTGCTGCATTAGAGACACAGATATAGCACAGCTGAGTTCATCCTGCCCTGGACACTGAAAACACATCTCTAGATCAACCGACCTGGGAGGTTGTTGCAGTGTTTGGCGGGAAGCCAGCGGTTAGCTGTTATGTACCGTGAGCTGAGCTGGTCGGGGGATTAGCGCCCGAGTCAGCGATCGGCTGGATCAGAGCTTCACACAACTACACTTCACACTTTCATTACCTCACATCGGCCTCAGCGTCGCTGCTCTACTTCAATGTTTTCTGATCGCACATCAGTCTTTAATTTATCTGCCATGGTGTTTTGCTTGTATAGCATTTTCTGAAGCAAAGCACAAACTCACAGTTCAATTCAAGGGCTTCACAGTCTGTACACAGAAAACATCTTATTGCAACAGATGTCTTGAATCTGACAAAAACAAACAGACACCAATTAAGATAACAAGTTTTATTGTCCCACCCCCCCCCAAGACAAAAAGTATACAAGTGTGGATTGTCATTGAATGGTTGCCAACTATTCCACCGACAACACAAAATAAATCCCTAAACTATCACAGTAAACATTTGAGAAATGTACACACATAAAAATATACCTCTGAGAAAAATCCTATATTGACATTTCCTAACAGCTCATTAATAGTCAGGGGGCTCAATCAGTAGCAATGAAGACTCGTGTGATCTGAACACATGCGGAAGAAGAAAAGGCCCCCGGCATGGAGCAGACCGCCATCATGTTCCTCAGAGTATGGCCGGCATGGGGAATGTTGCTTTACGCACCATACTAGCATGATTTCAAACAGACAGCACGTTACAGACAGAATGGATTCTTTGGCGTTTTGTTAACTAAAATAAACCTGCACAGGATTCCTTTTATTTGCATATATGTAAATGACCTGAAGCGCTCCCGTTGTACCTCTACAAGCCCCCCCACACCCCCCCCCCCCCCCCCTCCTACAGCATGGGTCTGACTCTGCATGTGATTAAATATATGAGTGAAAAATGTACACACTCCTCAATAACACTCATGAGTAAAAAATACTAGCATTGCACTCTCCTCTTTAGGCACAGAAAAAGCCTAGTTACAGTCGAGCTTTCAACGGGTGAATGAATCTACGAAGCTCCATGAGCCTCCGTTTGTGCCGACGTCCATCTTTAATTCCATCGTTTTAGATTTTCATACAAAACAACGTCTCGACTTCTGTCATTTCCCACTTTCACTGCCCGGATAAGACATTTAGCTTTCATCCAGATCGTCAGAAGAAAAACCTTCAGAACAATAGAAGTTGTTTGGCAACGGCTGCTGAGCACAAACCGGGGCTAAAGCTTCACTAGATTCAAACCTTGTATGTACAGTTTAATGCAATCTTACACCAACAATTATTCAGCTTATGATTTTTGAAAGAACAAAACAAAACAGAAAAGAAACTAAGCGTTTGTTTCTGGTGTGACGTGCAAAGTGAAACAGTGACTCACACCGTCAGCTTCACAGGGTGATTATTCCACAGAGGAGGAGGAGGCGTTTACCTCCGAGAGCTGACAGCTCAACATTCAGGCTGCGTTTTTGCTTTGACACGTCTGGACAGACTAACAGAGTGTTTTGGGCAGATGAGAGCTAAAAATGACAAAATAAACGAGTGATTGACGTGTGCTGGAATGATGCCTCAGGAAGAAGTGACAAGAAATGCCGACATGTGATTTAATGTTATATGTGACAGATCAGGCTTCCACCAATCTATATTATGAGGAAAAAACACATTTTATTGACCATAACTCCCTCAACCAAACAGCTCGCACACAAGGACAAACCAAAAGTCTCTTTTCTTATTAAAAGGTTGAAGCCGTCAGGAGAGATGTGCTGAATTTTAAAGTAAAATGCCGCCTTCTCCTGAATGTCAAACAGTTGTTTGTCTGGTTGATGGCAGCACAAACAAATAATGTAGCCAAGAGAGGAACCGCTAAGAGAAAAGCCCAAATCCCAAGATGACCCGTGATGGCTTAGCTGAAGCTACGCCACTCCCCGTTTATCCAATCTGCAGATATTCTCGGGGGGGACGGGGGGACGGGACCTATGGTCCTACGGGAGGGAGAGCGAGGTGTGGAAGTCATTCCTCGTCCGAGCTGCTGCTGTTGTCCAGAGAGTAAACCATGAAGGCCAGATCAGGCCGGGCCGGGACCATGGGGTGTCCCGGCTTCACCATCTCAAAGCCCATGTAGTGGAACGTCTTGACGATGGACACTGGAGGGGGGAGACAAAAAAAAAAAAAAAAAAAGTGTGAGAGGTTCAAATGGAGTCACCTCGACCCTGATGTTAATTAGTATTGGTCACTTGATTCATTAAAATTATGGTTTTACGGGAATTTGCTCTACAAAAGTACAACATCGACTAGAACATGTCCTGCATTAGTACAGTATTCCTCTTGTTAGCCTAGCTTAGCATAAAGACTGGAAGCAGCTAGCCTGGCTTCCTCCAAAGTCAGACAGTTAAGTTGCAGCTGAAGTTGAATGTGACGCATTGTGGTTTTTGGGAGGATTAACTTTACAGAACTAATTCTTTGGTGAACATCATGAGAGCATCGAGGTGCACGAGGCTTCCAGAGTCTTCCTGTTATAAAGATAGAACTGTGTCTGTACCGACATCTTTACCAAAACCTGTGCCAATCTGCGGAGGCCTAGCGGGGCTCCATAACTGGTTCATCCAGTCATGCACACGGGAAAAAAAAATCCTTATTATTGACTGCATACCCAGTTTAAGGTATTCCTATTTTCTAAAACATTATAAAAGAAGCAAACCCTGCCTCTACAAATAAAAACTAAACTAAAATAATAAACCAGTTTCAGAAATAAGACGAGCTCTTACATCGATCCTCTCTGTTTTTATGGAACCACAGGAACACGTAGTTAACTTTGATCTTCTCTTCCGCAAACTCCAGCAGAGAAGTTAGCCTGAGGATGAACACAGACAGAGAGAGAGAGAGAGCGAGAGAGAGACAGAGAGAGAGAGAGAGAGA